TTAATATTACTTGTTGACTTTAAGATCTAATCAGAGTAGTTAGTATTTTTTACATAGATTTATAGGCACAGCTGCTTTGTAGATTTGTGGTAAAATTAGAAGGGGTATTGCTTTAACTGTGCCGACAAAAAATAACAAATAAACATTTTGATTATTTATGATGTATAAAATAAAATTAGTAGTAATTACTATGCTTAAAAATACTTAAAGCATGAATAATTTTACTGCAAAAATGTAAAATATATTAGTCAGCTTATTAGTCCGCTGTTTTCGTAAATAAATAGAATAATTAAAAAAATGCTGTATGGCAAACAATTATTATTAATGTGTAACATAGAAAATACTATTTTTATTAATAAAACAGGTTTTCTGAAGATCGTGTTTTTTAATGGAGCTTTTCTATAATCAGCTGCTGCTCGAAACAGATCTTCCTACTTGAAGACCTGTCAATTGTTTTATGTGACGTAGACAGTTTCTTACGCCCAAGCCATAGTCTTTCCTCGACTTTTCCCTTAATAAATAATCGCAGTAGTTGGTATTTAGGTTGGTTTCTGTTTTTGCTTCTTTTAATTAAGTTAACAGTTCTCCCTCTCTCTGTGTTCATCATTCTAAGCACCTCCTCGTTGCTTGTGTGTCTCGTCCATGACATCTTTAGATATCTACGATTGCACCATAGCTCAAATGCTTCAACCTGTACTGTTAAAGTGGAGGACCAAATATAGCGGTCTTTTGTGAAGGTGTATAGATATTTTTGGTGCATAACGTTTTCACACATTGCGATACTTTGCTTTTACCTTTCATCTTTATTTATTTAAATCGTTATCTCACTGTTCTTACATTTTGTAGATGTATTTTTTTGGTCGTTTTTATGTGAGGTAAAATTAAACTCTTAGAATATGTTTTCCTGCGCTGTGTTTTTATTGAAGTTATATAGTTTTCCTAGTTGTCCTTCACGTTTTTTTTTTTAATATTGTCCAAGTTTTTCCTCTATTTCGTTAACCTCCTAGGTATGTGTCGCTTAATTTGTTTTTCTTTTCCACAATTTTTCTTTTGACTCTTGCCTAGTGAATTTTACATGTCACCTTTGGTTCATCAACTTAAATATCTCTTGTGTTAACTACACTTTGTTTTTCTTGTGTGCTTTGATTCGATATTTCTTTCCCATTGCTTTTATCGTCGTATTCATACAATTGAAGTCTTGATCCATGTCACTAATATTGTTTATTTGATCTTTTATACTAGTGAGATGTTCGTTAATTTCTTTTTCTACATGTTTTCTGATGTTCGCTTTTTTGACAATTTAGTTAAGTCTAACGATTTTGCAGTAAGTTTTCTGAACTTATTCAGTGTATCTTCAATTATAGAAACTGCAGAATTGTGATCCGAGCCAACATCTGCCCATGATATTTTTTCGTATTTGACAGCGTTACGGTATCTCCTTGCTTTCATAATGTAATCTATTTGTGGTCCATGTGTATAGCCTACGTGGGGCTAGTGGAAATAGAGTATTAGTTATTACATTAAATCTTCGCTCTAGCAAAATTGAACTGATCAATCGCGTCTTTCATTTCTGACACAAAGACCATAATTTTTGATATATTCTCCATTTCTACCTAACCCTCATCATAATCAATTAGCCTATATTTGTCCATTGCTGAACGTAGGCATCCCGCAAATTTTTTTACCTATTTCTATCTTGAGCTTCTTGCATCCAATCTGTGGTATGCTGTTTATATCATCCGTCCATCTAGTCGGTGGTCGTCCTCTGCTTAGTTATGTCTCTTGTCTTGGTCGCCATTTCAGAATATTTCTGGTCTATGTATCATCGTCAATCTGGCAACATGTTCGCCCAAGTCCATTTACCCATGGCTATTCTTTCAACTGCATCCATGACTCCTGTTCTTCTTATTTCTAGGTTTTGTACTTCATCTCTAATGGTAATATCTAACATTGATCTTTCCATAGCGTGTTGTGTAACTCTTATTTTATATATTGTTTCTTTTGTCTGAGATAGTGTTTCTGCACCATATGTAAGGACCCTTATTACCTATCTTGGAGCTTACCCTTATTACCTATCTTGGACTTAAAATCTCCCTTTATGACAGTGGTGTGTCTTCGTTGCTCTCATCGACTCTTCTAAAGTACTATAAAATTGATCGATTTCATATTCGTCTTGTCTGCTGTGTGAGCGTAGATTTGTTTAAGGTTTAGGATATTGCGTTTAAGTTCTACTTGCATTAAACATTACTTGATCTGAAAGGGAAGTGTAGTAAAGATTGGAATCTTTAAATCACTTGAATACAATAATTCCAACTCCGTAGCCATGACTTCTATTATCCTTTACAGCATAGTAAAACATTCCGCAATTTCTAGTCAGATATTTTCCAGACCGCGGCCATTGTGTGTCACTGAGTCCCAATACATATATCTGAAGTCTCTCCATTTCCTATACGACGTTGTCTAATTTTCCAGCGAAACACAAGCTTTTCACATTTCATGTAGCAATTTTTAAAGCTATTTCTGGCTCATTTTTAATACAAAAATTTCTCATGCGATACGGTTAAGATCGAGAAAGCTTTGTAGTCTGGTAATGTTCTTTCTTGGACTCCGATTTCCGTGAACAGTAGTAGTATTCCTTGTACTATTTGCCATGATAATATGATTAGGGGTACTCTATGAGTCTTTAATGCAGTGGTTCCCCGTTGCTCTCTTACATCCTTATATAGATTCGTCACACCTTACGGATCAATGGATTTTTCTTTCATCGAGATTAAGACTTTTAGACATTTCTTAATCTCTCCAGAGCTTTAGCTATAAAACGCTACATGTAGTTTTTTTACATTGCCATATTTTTCTTATTTCTATTTATATAACCAGGGAGTCAAATCTTCTAATTGGAAAATTAACTAATCAAATTTCGATTGTTAGGTCCTGGAAGACCCGTAAAATCTCATGTTACCCATTACATTGCTTAGAAGGTACTACCGAATTACATCTTAAAAATAAATCAGATATATTTTCAAACATTCTCATTTAATTAATTTGCTTTTACTATGGATTATTATGTATTACATGTATTATTGTCCTGATCCTGCCAAATATGTTAATTAATCTACAATTAGATATTTTAGATACTTTATCTATCTTAAGCTCTTTATTCTTTCAATAGACCTTCCCTTCCTGTTTTCATTTCCCTCTTTTCTGAGCTAATAACCCTGTTCCTACATGTTCTCTGATTTCATCTGCCCATCTTTTCTGCGGTCTTTCTCTTCCACATTTTTAGTCCCATGATCTCAAGTGAATGATTGGTTTGTTCCATCTACGGTCTTTCTATCTACTGTTGTGGTCCTCAAATTTTGTTTAAGTGTAATTATTGTTTGTACATCGCCTTATCCAATTATTGCTCTTATTGACTTTTAATTTTACGTAGAGCATCTGATTTCCATGATGTAGCTCAGCTTTCTAACCGTTAGTCTTATTCGGTGTTTCATTTCAGCAGTTTGATTTCCTCTGTTCAATATGATAATTTGCCCCAGGTATATTTTTACTTTCTCCGTCGTTTGGTCCCATATTTTAATTTCTTTGTCTTAGTCATTGTGTTTATTTTGTTGTAGTTCATTTTCAGTGCTGTTTTCCTCGCTTCCTTATCTATGTTCGTTATCATCTCTTCAAGATTTTTGGCATTTTCTAAAATGAGTACAATATCGTCTGCATATCACAAATGGTTCAAGCATTGATCCTTTATGGTTATACATTTTTTCCCAGTTTACTTTTTTAAATACCTTGACTAATATTTGTGCCGAATAGCTCAGGCAGTAGAGTGTCTGACTTAGGGCGTTAATGGTTTATATTGCTCCTGTCTCCTTTCTCATGCATCAGTAGGGTCATTGCTTCATTCCAATCTTCTGTATAACCGATCTTCTATATAAAGGTAGAACACTGCAACAGATATGCTATCTTTGCTTATATTATAAATTATTTTATATCTATCGAATGATTTTAGATAGTTAATATGCTTCCAAAATATGTTTCCACTACTGCTTGATGTAACAGTCCTGTGGGCACTTTTTCTTTTTCTCGGAATTAAGCTATTCTTTTTTCAGGATAGTTCGCAAAATGTCTTTCTAACTTAGTTAACTTAAAATATCACAAAAGTATAGCTCGAAATTCCTTAATATGTTTATAATGACCCTATTTGCACTGTATTTAAACATCTTAACCGTTGCGTTGACTGGAAGATCATGATTAAACTACTATGTCTTGATAATGATATCTTTCTGTTTCTTCTTTATATAATATCAAAAGCCATCGTCGATTAGAATAGATTTGTAATTTTTCTCTTGGTTTCTCTTCTCTCAATTTATTCTCTTCTTCTAAGGGCTCTACAACCCTTTGCGAGTCTTGGCCTGCTTAACAATGTTCTTCCATTCTGCCCTGTCGGATACTTTCTTCGCCACTGCCTGATGTTCATGGTTTTAAGATCCCTCTCTTACATCTCGATTATCTGGCATTCTTTCTAGGCGACTAAGCCAGTTTAGTATTTGTGACTTTACAAATTTAACAATCTCTCAATTTACAATTTTTTTTAAAATATGTCGTGAAATGTTGTCAAATATTCACATAAAACAGCATGCAATATATGTACTCACTGAGTACAAGTTAATTTATATGCTACAGCATTTGGAGGATGCATGAAGGTCTCGTAAGGATGAATTCGTTTTTTTGGTGGCATTGTTAGGTGGTCACATCTTGAATTTATTTGATGATATTTGAAATATTATTATATTTGTAGGTTTACGTTTTGTTTGTTTTGTTAGATCTCGTATCATGCCCTATAAAACTTCTAAGTGTGGGCATTGTTTAAAAATAAATAATGTTCACTTTTGTTCAAAAAAATACTACAACTTACAATTAGATCTTAAAAGTAAATTAGATTCTAATTTTACCCAATTACGAAAAAATGTACATATAAATTATTCATTGGTTATTTAATGTTTTAGTCCCCAACTCACCACAGAACAAAATCGAGTCCCGAAACTTTATCGGGTCTCACAACAAACGATGGTCATCTAAAAACTTCCGAAAGTCTAAACGATTTGAATCGACAAGAAGATTGGGAAACTCCGCCGGGTACACCGCCACCACCTTATCCTAGTCCACAGGCAACAAGAAGAGAAGTTATTGGTGGAAACGATGACCACCATTTCGATGAGGTATGTATACTATGACAAACCGCTTTAAATTGTTTCACAAATTAAGCGGCGATATGAAATAATAAGTTATCCCTTTAATAAGATTCTCATACAGAGTGAGTTTTAAGTATGAATCTCCGAAATTATGATAGGTAATAATGATATATTACACGAAAAAAATATTCAGTATGATGTATTTCAAATAACAAAGTTCATTATATTTCCAGAAAAAGGGAAAATCTGACAACAATGTAAAGACTATCATAAGATCGGTTGTATTACAAAACCATCAGACCAAAATTTTTATAAATCGTGCAGTCGTTTCATGTCACTGGTTTTTAAAAGAAAAATTATATTAATTTTTAATGGTATCTCTTGGTCATCCTAACATTTTTGACTAAACATTAAATGGGTCAGAAGGTACTGTGCAAAGCTAATTCCTGCCTTTAACATTGAGGGTTCCGCATTTTTCGTCTCATGACAAGTTCATGAAATTTTGTGCCTCCGCTGTCACTTCCAATCTATCATCTTTTCCGCCTTCTGTGTGTTACAATCTAGGACTTTTCTTGTCAATATGTCGTCATGCTTCCTCATTACATGATCAGCCCATTGCAGTCTTCGGAGTCTGATAAATTCTGAGGTAGTTGTTTTTTTTTTTAATAATTGGTAAAGTTCTTTCAAAGATTTTTCTTACAATTTTTAATTAAACAATGTCTAATATTCTTTTTGTTTTGTTTTTTGCCATCATCGATCTCTCATATTTATAACATACTATTTGCCTAATGATGGCTTTATATCTTAATTTTCCTGTGTACGGTTTTTGGATCGGAATATGGGAGCGCCTAGTTGTCCCCTCTGTACTTAATCAACTCCTAGATATGTAAATCTCGATATGTAATATCTCGGACATATAATGAGAAACAGCACTAAATACAGATTACTGAAGGTAATCCTACAGGGTAAAGTATTCGGAAAGCGAGGAATTGGGAGAAGGAGAATATCATGGTTGAAGAACCTGAGGAAATGGTTCTCCACAACAACAACAAATCTATTTAAAGCATCAGTCAATAAAATAATTATAGCCAGAATGATTGCCAATATTCGGAACGAATAGGCACTGAAAGAAGAAGAAGAAGATATGTAAAGCTCTTCACTTGCTTCAACATCGTTGAAGCCACATAAGGTAATACTCTTTGTTTTCTAATAGCTGGGAATTTTTTAGTTGTTCCATTTTGGTTTTCAGTGCATGCAATTGAGTGCTAGGTGTTCGCTTCCTAATTCCCGTTGTCTTTGTTTCCCAGCGATTCCCATTGCCATTTTTCTTTCGCCCGTATTGTTTGTTTCGCCTCTTAAATTCTTGGGGGTCCTATCTGTTTTTATTTTATGTGGGGATTTTATTTTTGTTGGTTCGCTATTTTATCTGTCTCTAGTTTCTACACAAACTTTAAGAAATTGATATCATTCTCTTAGATCGTTACTATCAAGATTACGTTCTATGTGAAATGTCTGTTTTGATTTTTTTTTGTTTTCTGCTTGCTTTCTGTCGTGCTTCTGCATTTTTTCTTTCTTTTTCTAGTTCTCCTTTCCGTTTACAGTATATGGGACAGGACGTGGCACTGATAATTGAAAATCACATGTAATCTGAACATTTATTTCTAATATAATATGTGCATATTTACATAAATACATATGTCATATGTATACACTTCTATATATATATATATATATATATATATATATATATATATATATATATATATATATATATATATATATATATCTACCACAAAAATATAACAGAAAAAAAATCTCATAACTTCAAACTAACTTTGAAATTGCATAAAATTATACATAACAGAAAAAAAAACAGATTGCTACATTAATAAACTTTTACACTAAATAAGAAAAACAAAACCTGTATAGGTATGCCATGTATGCGGCTTTGTATACTACATAAAGCGGTTATATATTTTAGACAAAAAAACACTTGGTTTGTGTTAAAAGTCTTCGATTTTTTTTAATCTTTTGACGTATTCTCTGCAAGTTCAATATATCTACAAACTCTGAAGTTTCTCAGCCTTCTGGTTAGTTACTTTTTTTATTAATACCGCCCACTAATTTTCTTAGTCTTGATTTTTGTATGAATTATGTAGGTTGTGAGGTACCGGGCTTATTCATTTTCACAATGACAATGTCGTTACTGAGCTGTAACCTAGCCTATCTTTGTCACATTGTGTCCATGTCTCAACCTCGGTTTAATCAATTTCTTCATCTTATCGGCGTTGCGTACTAATGCAGTTATTTCAGCTATGTTAGTTTCTTTATCGTCATATTTCATAATTCTTCCATCTCCCTCTAGCGTAATTATTTTGTAAAAAACTCTTGCTAATTTTCTCTTTCACTCAGTTCCATGCATTTTTCAATATAAAAATATGTTCAACGATTTCCAAAACTTGATCAGATCAACTTCATTGAACAAGTTCATTATAAATTCCCTTCGGAAGAGGCGTTTAATTGGCTCAATATCATCCTGATCCATTAGTTGAGCAATTGATGTAACATTTGCTGGATAAAAAAAAATCAAGAAAACATCTTCAAATCTTAGGGCTGTCCCATTGGGATGAGCACCAGCAATATCCAGCAGACAAGCCTTTTGTGGAAACTGTCCTCCTTGAAATAAGACTTCACTTCAAGAATGTAGTTTTTATGGAACCAATCTTGGAAGATGTCACAAGTTATCCAGGCAGCTTGCTATTATAGTAGTGAACTGTGAGATTCTGCAGCTTCAGTCTATAGCTGCCAGATGCATTGGCACAACAAATTACTGCTATTTGGTATTTACTTTCTTTATACCCCTTGCACTCAATTTATTACTTGCTGCTAAGGTTTTTGTAGGTACTGCTCGCCAGTATAGTCGTGTTTCGTCAGCGTTTTAAATTTGAGAAAATTGTAGATTATATACTCTAATTATGGTCTTCAGTTCATACCAAATTTCCACCATTGCTTCTGTTTTTGTAGACCGATACTAATATACTGCTTCTCCATTCATCTGACTTTGTCCCACTTCCATAATTCTATTAAATAAACTTGGCAGCCAACTTGTTCCTGTCTCTCCTAATACTGCTCACACTTACCCAGGAATACCATAGTCCAACTGATTTACCGTTCTTAATTTTTGAAGTGCTTCCGCGTTTGATATTTTAATGAACATTGCTGTTACTGTCTCCGTTGATTGTCTATACACATATATATTTTTGATACTCTGGACAGATTTTATAACAAGCATAAATTTTCTTTGTGTTTAGTACAGTTTAGTCCATACTCCTCACTAATTTTCACGACTGATTTACTAAGCGGCTGTAAATGTTAACGTGTTAGTATTATAAGCACTGTATCATCTGCATATCTCATATTGTACTGCCGTTGATCTTAATGCATTTTTCTAACCAGCTAATGCTTTATTTATAATATATTTCGAATACATGTTTTCATTATTTATCGAATGCTTATAACAATCGAAAAAACTAGGGTAACACCTTCAAGAATGTTGTTAGTGCAACGGCATTCTCTTAATCAAATGATTTCTGTCTCCTCATTGGTTTAAATTATTTTAAACCTAGTATTTAATTATATCCAATCATTTATCTCTATTTGGGTAAAATTTATACTATAGTTGCTGTTTCAATTCAATTAATCTCTCACAAAGTCCCTAAAGGTTATTTTGGAATTTTAGAATATGTCTAAATTTCTGCTATATCGCTTTTTTTTTATTTGTATTCATATTTCAACTTTAATCATAGGAAATTAATACAATAAATGGTTATAGGCAATCTTATGTGAGGCCGGTTTAAATGATTCACTAAATATGTTGGGTTGGTCCCATTATATTAGTACAAGGTTTTCAAGCAAATAAAAATTATTTCGCTATTTACTTGTTGCCTTATAATGTACTACTTTTATCTAAAAGCCAATTGATTATATAATTTTCGCAATTATATTACGTAGTTGAACCATAAATTAGCACAAAGTACTTCTATTGACAAAAAAATACCTATATTATAAACGAAAGAATGCTTTTTCACTTAATGCGTTTATAGTACATGTACATTTTTTACAATCGATACAATTATCAAATTGAGTTTATATGTAAATTTCTTAAACAGCATTATACTTGTGTGTTCTAGAATGATTACTCCTTTAAAATTATAGTTCTTTGCATTTCTTTGTTGCATTGTGTAAGATAGATTGCTCCTTATGTAGGCCATTTCCCAGTTCCTTCCATTTCTTTTTTTTTATCTTCCAGTGTGTAACATCTCCAAAACAAAAATAATTACAAATTTGATATCCAACCAGAATATCAGTATTGGTGGGCAAGAAGTAGAACTTGTAAATAAATATAAATACCTAGGACATGAAATTATGATTGGCAGGGATAATCAGACCCATGAACTGAAGATAAGAATCGGTCTTGGGTGGGCAGTCTATGAAAAACTTTAAAAGTGAGCTTACCACATGCCTGAAGAGAAAATTTGATCAGTGCGTCCTCCCAGTATTGACATACGGAGCAGAAACACTTACTTTAACAAAAGCCTCGGCTAGCAAACTAAGAGTCGCACAGAGAAGACTGGAGCGATCCATGTTAGGAATAACTCTGCAAGACAAAATAAAAAACTAGGAGGTCAGGAGAAGAACCTAGGTGACTGACATCATCGAAATGATAGCCAGACTAAAATGGAGATGGGCAGGACACATAGCTAGAATGCCTGATGGGCGATGGATAAAGAGGTTATTGGAATGGAGACCAAGGGAAGACAAGAGAAGCGTCGACCACCTACACATGGACTGACGATTTAAGAAGAAAAAATACAAATACAAAGAAGCAGGGATAATAATAATCCAGGGAACAACAAAGAACATGGAAATTACTAAGAATAGAGGCAATCACTAAGGTGATTAAGTCGAAATGGTAATAATAATGCTTGATGAATTTAAGGGCACTTTAACCGAGAGCGAAGTCTTGAATATAACTACTGTTTGGCACGAGGGCTGACAACGAAGTCTAATATGTAACTACTGTCCGGCACGAGGACCGGGAACGAAGTCTGTGAATGCCGCTTCAATTAAACATTTTATAGCAAAAAGAACCGCCAAATTTCTAACTGACTTTAACGAACTTTAAAACGTCCCAACAGTAAATTCTAAAAAGCCACTTATTCTATAAATTTACGAAGAAACTGCATAATAATAAAACAATAAAACTAACAGATTTTTAAGCCTTTTTAAGAGTTCCGAGAACAAGTAAACATTATTGACACCGTTCTAGATGGACAAAAAACTTGTTTTTTTGTAACAAATTAACGATGCGGTTGATAGTAGGAAAAAGCATTTATGACCAGTTGTGGTCGTAAAAATGATAACTTTTTATATTAAGAAGAGGAGAATTGGTTGTAACATAATATCGAAGCTTGTTTGATACCAAAAGAAACAACGTGTTTTAGCAGGCGTCTCAACGGAAAACGAACGAGACAAAAAACTAATACGACTTTAACAAACAGATAAAAATGGTACTCAATAGGTCCATTTGTGTCACTCTTCGAAAATTGAATAAGAAGAAACAGAACAAACACAGAAATATTCGAGCGAAAGTGATAAAAGCGAAATTCATTTAGGAAGGATATATTTATGTATGCCTTATGTATGGCAAAGAAGGCTTGCGGACAAAAGCGAGGACCGAAATCGCCCGGACAGTCGCAAAGAAGATGGTTGGATTTCGTAAAGCAAGATCTGAATCAGCTTGGTGTTCTCCAAGACTGAAGTGTATTTGAACTAGACGATTAAAAGCAAAGTATATGTAATAATGTTTGTTTCTTTAATCATCAATGTTTCATTAGTAAAACTCAATTGCATTTCAACAACTTTATTATTAGTTGTACAATATTAAATTAAAATTACATTACCTGCAAAAAGATACAACATTTAAAGCTTTTAATATTAAAATGACGTCTCGTATGGCAGTATTAAAAATTAATAGTGACAAGACTCAATGTCACTGAGGCGTAACAACTATTAAAACCTAAATTACATCAATTAGAGAAAAGCAAAAAGAGTGTTTTGTTTTTCTTTACATATATACTTGACTTCCATAACTGACGTAAAAGATGTCAAAGACTAAACCAGCATGTGTCTTTGTTATATACTATGGATTTCTATATCAGTTACTCTACAGTAGATAAACCGTATGATTTTATGTGGTTTCTTGAATCGTTCAATATTTTGTAATTTGAATTTTTAAAATCGGTAGTACTGTTTATGAGGGTTGTTGCTTTAATTTATACATAGAAGAAGAAAACAGAAATAGTTATTAATGAATTTTAAAAAATGTCTTCATTGTTTCTGAAAACTTGAAAAAATCACTAGGACTTAAGCCAGAACGGCGAAGAGTAGATCAGCAACTCCACGTTTTCAGCGATCAAAAAGATCCGTGCTTATTATGTTGTGTGGGAGTTTGCATTGTCCTGGTGTAGAATGATTCGATTTTTTGTATTTTTTCGTATTTTTGAAAAAAAAATTAATAACTAAATGGTTGTATACCACTGTGCATTTTTAGACACAAAACAGGTAATCATTTACTTGAAAATACTTTGACTTTTGTTGGTTTTGCTTCATCTTGGAACACCCAAACCATTGATTGTTCTTTGGTTTTCAGCTTGTAAGCATAAATGCAACTTTAATCGCCACTAACAATGTTCTATATCAATTTTGATGACGCTGAGTCGAATATTTAACTATTTCTTTACACATACAAACTTGTTTGTAATAGTCAGTTAAATTGTGTGGAATCCAACGCAAACATAATTTGTTTTACAAGAACAATGCTGTTTGCTGCTCAGGTGAAAGTTGCTCTATTGCAACAGTTGGTATTTATATAATTAATACAAAAAACTATAAAAAGAAATAATGGCACACAAGGTTACAATAGCTCAATCTCCAATTTTAGGAAAGATCGTTGATTTTATAGTTAAATAATGAATTCTTTTTTGTTTTTAGAGCTTTACGGACTCTCCCGATACTTCATTTCGAAGTAATGGTTCTAGAGTTTTGGCCAACAGTTCTCCCATTCATGCAGCTACTCCACAAACTTCACAACAACCCATCATGAGTATGGAGGATGATGAAATCTCAGATCAAGAAATCGTAAGTATTTTACTGCTACTTACTTCTTACTTAATGCACAATGTCAATGCAAGTGTGTTCAGTAATCATTCCAAAAATATGGAACAAATATTCACAATGAATGGCAATGTGATAGAAGAAGTAGAAGTATCGGTGCTAGGCCACGTGATCAATGAAACAAAAAAATTCTTCAGAAACAAACAGACGAATAAAGATTGCCAGATCATCATTTATACGAATGAAGCCACTCCTAACGTGCAGAAGTCTTAATTTGAAAACACTTACCATTCTTATTCTTATTATTTAAGTTCCATCTTCTATCGAAGGTTCTAAAATAATCATGGCTATGCGAACCCTGTTGACTACCGCTCTAAGGAGAGTAGTGAATACGTAACACCGAAGCATTATTAGGCGTAACCCTAACCTTATATCCCGACAACAAAGAAACTTTTTAAGTTTACCGAATGATGACCGTGCTATTTCAATACGTGTTTTAATTTTTTTGGTTTGGTCTACTACTTACCATTCGATGGTATATATTTTTAATGTTATTATACCTATGAAGCTGAGACATGGACATTAAAAAAATGTAACTTAAAAAGAATTCAAGCTTTGGAACTTGAATTACACAGAAGAATAATAAAAATGCAGGTGAATTGATCTCTTTAGAGCAGCAATTTCCCAAAATAAAAATAGCCATTATGATTGCCAACCTCTATAGGGAGACGGCACTCTAAGAAGAAGACTCATCATTAACTTCTTTCTGGTTTTACATTTAGATTATTAAGTGACTGTTATTACTACTCATTTGACCAAACTGTGCAGAATACTGTGTTAGACGAAGCTTAAGAAAAAGTCGTGACAAAAAGTAAGAATAATTATGAACATAAAAGGACCAACAAGACTTGTTAAGTCATTGCTAAAATGGAAGTAAAATATAACAGTAACATAATAAGGATAGTTAAGTTTATAGCACTGTGACGATAAACTTTTTATCTACGCCAATGCTTTATCTGATTTTATGAGGACTAAGCTATAAAGAATGACAGTTATCTCAAGATTCATCAATGATATCAATCCCATCAACCAAAGGAGTACACTGGACAAAACGCTAAACAACATATTGCAAATAGGAGTGTGGAGCATGGTCATCCTTCTATGTATTTTTCCTTACGTGTTCATTGAAAATAAGCCAGGAGAATGCTAGAGATAGTAGCCGAATAGATGGAAGAGTCAATAATTATTGAATTCTGCTGTGCTACAATAGGCCAGCTTGATGGTAGAAAGAAAACAACTTGAAAATGTCGACCTATGGGTCGACACATCGATGGGGGTAGACCAACCTCTGCTGCAGTATGGTCATTCCTGATATAGTGAATAGGAAGAAAATACATAGAAGTGTATAATTCTCTCTACTTATTAGCGGAAGTTAGTTGACGATGACATACTTTTCTCCATTTGAGTTTATTATTCGGTTGGTGCTTTTGAAGCATAAAATATTTGTATATATGTTATTATATACTGAGTGACAAAAAAGGTAAACACCTACATATATTTATCTGACTTTTAATAATTCTTTATACACTGTTCAGTGTTCCTTACTAGTAAAATGATTAAATTTTTAACTCGATAACTCTGCAGAAGCTGGTTAAATAATGTGTTGAGGATCCATGATTTTTTATACACTCATTGACACGCCTGGGCGTCGTTCTGATGAGGTGGTCGATGTCCTATTGGGGTATCTCATTCCAGGCTAATACAACGTCGTGAGTAAGATCAGCTAAAGTTTATGGAGAGTGTTGCAAAATTAAGAGCCTGCGAACTATTATGCCCCAAACCTGTTTAATTGTGGTGGCCCAGGTAAATGGTTGATGTAATGTTGATCCAGGAAGGCTAACGATTCTTTAGCAACATGCAGGCTGGTATTTTCTGGCTGAAAAACTGGGTATTGGTTGGTGTTTAGGTATGGAATAAGATGAGGCTCCACTACTTACTGAATATAGCGTACTATGTAATATTTTTTCTGTTGAAAATTAGTGGTACTTATAAGCAATAGCAGTCCATCCACCGTGTGGGGAACGTGCCGTTCTATGTCAAATTCTGGGTCACGTCTTTCACCACTTTGCTCACTCTTGCTCGGCTCGACCATCGTGCACCCCCAGACTGAAGTGAGATTCGTCACTAAAGACCACTTGATTCCCAGTCCCATAGAATTATTTCTCTATACCAGAGTAAACGGTCACGTTGATGTTCAGCTGTGAGAGGTAACACCCAATGTGGGCGAGAAGAAAAAAGGCCCAACTGTCATATTCGGCGATATACTGTACGCATACCAACCATCCTTCCATGCTCTTCAAACCACTGATTTGCTATGGCTCGAGTACTACTGAATCTGTGTCTCTTAGAGCCAAGAGTCATAATCGGCAATCTTGTCGCTCTGTGGTCCCATGTGACGTTCAGAGCCCGTCGCTTGGTGTCCTTGACCTTTATGAGTGCACGCTCGTTCATACTGCAGTGTGCTGCGTAAAGATCTGTTGGTCCTCCTCCTCTTATCGATATAGCGGCTGAGACTACACGCCCGGCGAATTCTACGCACCCTAGGCATTTTGAGCAACAAAAAAAAGCGAAATCAGCTACACGAAATTTACGTGAAAGTAAACGACAAAGTAAATTCACGAAAACTGAACAGATAAACCTGAAAATGTTATCACTTTTTGTTTGTGGCAAGATAAGTCAATAGGTAAAAACTTTCTAATTTCATCTAATAAACATGCGTAGGTGTTTACCTTTTTCTTTGTCATTCAGTGTATATTATTGTGTTACAATTTTTTGTCATAATTCTCATTTAATTTTTTAGAGCCAATTGGAAGACCATGGACATTTCAAGTCATTGTCCAGACTTTGGGAACATTTGCCACATCTTGCAGTATTTATGAACTATATACTGTCAAATTCTGATCCTAACGGCCTAATGTTTTACCTTCTGACTGACCTTTATAAAGAAGGTAACGCCAAAGAGATGAGGAAGTGGGCCTTCGAAATTCATTCCTGTTTTCTGGTGCCTGGAGCGGTTAGTTACTTTATATTTTAACAATATAACATTCATGTATTCAAACTTTTTCCTAACTAAAAAAATCTAAGAACTGTATAAAATTAATACTAATTGTTTCATTGTCAATAACATACTATATCTGTGTTATTAATATAATTGTTTATAATATCTAATAATTTCTCCAATGACAAAAACTTAATAATACAAGTCAAATTAGGGAGGGATGATATATTGACCAACAAAACTAAACTGAATGTATCAGCTGTAATACACTTTGTACAACAACATGGACTAGCTACGGGCTCATCATATTTCTATTATTAGTCGATATGTTCATGGAGGAATTCGAATAAAACATTGGGCATAAACATAACCAACATTCCACAGTATGGTGGAGATATGTAAATGTATCTCCATTTTCTTTCACGGGCCAGAAGTATTGAATAAACTTCTAATGGACATCCATATTAAAGAAGAATCGATCAAATTCATTTTGGAAAAAGACTCACTGTTTATGCATGTGTTAATCACAAAACAAGACGACTATACACTTGGATATCACCAGGAAATAGATACAGAAATCAGATAGATTTTATACTGGTAAAAACCCGTTGGAGGAGCGCTGTTAAGGATGTTAAGACCTATCCAGGAAAAGATTGTAATAGCGACCATCAATTTTTATCAGCTGAATTCCGCATGAAGTTAAGAAACAGTCCAAAAACAGGAAATACAACAACTAAATGGCATCTAAGATATAACGATCCGTACAAAAAAGCCGCAATGCAAAAGCTATGTGACCTCAAACAATCATTAAATCCAGACGAGTCCTCAAACAGCATATGGACAAAAACAAAATCGATATTGCATAATGCTGCGAAAAATATTAAGAGTGATAGAGAAGAAAGAAGGAAACAATGGATAACGGACTCCACGTGGACTAAAATACAGGAGAGGAAGTGCTTAAAAGCCACAGGACTGAACAGTGAAAGTGATAAAGAGGCCTATAAAGCGCTGAACGGTCAAATAAAACGACTCTGCAAAAAGGACAAGAACACACACTTGAACAAAATCTGCATGGAAATAGAAGGGCATAAAACCAAAACTGAGACCAGAGACATGTTTAAAAAAATAAAGCAGATAACACGTTCCTTTACACCAAACTACCCTGCTATCAAAGATGATAACGGAACTCTACTCACTTCTAAAAAAGATATTTTACACAGATGGAAAGAATACTGTGGACGACTGATGATGGAGGAAAGCACAGACGCCCCATCACAACAAGAAGATGCCGGTTTTGCGACGGAACCTGACGTACTCAAAAGTGAAGTTGAAGCAGCAATTATGAGGCAAAAAAGTCAAAAAGCTGCCGGTCCAGATAACATACCTATTGAAATGATTTGGGCCCTAGATGACGTTGGAGTGGATATAATACATCAAATTTGTCAAAGAGTGTGGGAGACAGGTAAATGGCCTGAGGACTGGACACAATCACTATATATTCCCATACATAAAAAGGGAGCGAAAGATTTATGTAGCAACTATCGCACAATTGCTCTAATTGCGCATTGCAGTAAGATACTCTTACACATAATTCTCGAGAGGATAAAGCCCTTTTTACTACCTAACATTGCGGAGGAACAAGCAGGTTTCGTCCCAGGACGTGGTACTAGAGAACAAATTTTAAACGTACGGCAGATTGTAGAAAAATCCAGAGAATTCAACATCACAACATATTTGTGCTTCATAGATTATAGTAAAGCTTTCGATTTGGTCAACTGGAGTAAAATGTGGCAGGTTTTGTCTGAAATGGGAGTCCCTAATCATCTGATACTGCTAATTAAAAGCCTGTATAATAACAATTATGCCAGAGTTAGAATAAATGGGGAACTAACTGACAGTTTCAGGGTCACAAAGGGCGTGAGACAAGGCTGCATACTAAGCCCAATTTTATTTAACATCTATGGTGAATGGATAATGCGGAAAGCTACTGAGGACTGGAACGGTGGCATCACCATTGGCGGGAAGAAGATTTGCAACTTGAGATATGCAGATGATACTACTATCCTCGCTAGTTCTGAAACTGAATTGATTCACCTGCTACAACGGATAGAAGACGTAACCTTATCGATGGGCCTTAAAATAAACAGGGATAAAACGAGAATCATGATAATTGACAGAGCTAACAACAATCAAAATCATCTGGTTAGGATAAACAATATCGCTGTTGTAGATAAATTTGTGTATCTGGGCTCATTAATAACCAACAAAGGAGGCTGTACTGAAGAAATAAAGCGGCGGTCAGCAATCCCAAAAAGCGCTATGGCAAAATTAACAAAAATTTGGAAAAGCCATGAAATTACTACCGATACAAAAATGAGACTAGTAAGAAGTCTAGTTTTTCCAGTTTTTACTTATGCATCGGAATGCTGGACCCTTACTGAGAAAGACAAAAAGAACATAGATGTATTTGAGATGTACTGCTGGAGACGAATGCTGAGAATACCATGGGTGGCCCGAAGAACAAATGAATCCATACTGGTCCAGCTAAACATAAAGAAAAGACTAAGAACACAAATAACAGAACAGATAATAAGCTATTTTGGACATGTGCTTCGAAGAAATGGTCTTGAAAAACTTACCATCCAGGGAAAAGTAGAAGGCAAAAGAAGTAGAGGTAGATCTCCTACACGATACACGGACCATATTGTTGCTACCATTGGCGCTCCATTGTCAGAATGTGCTAGATTGGCAGAAGATAGAAAAACGTGGAGGAACATTGGAAAAATTACCTAACAGCTTCATGATATCACGATACCTGCATCAGGTTAACGACTAAGAAGAAGAAGAAGAATCACAAAACAAGATACAGGATATGCAACGGAAGTTTACAGAAAACTAATCCACATCAACAGATATTTAAATTACCACTCAAACCACAGTATAATCATCAAAAATGGAATCATTGTATGATAGAGCCCAAAATACTGGCTCTAACTAGAATTCATTTCAGGAAGAAAAAAATTGCTAATAAAAAGTGATTACCCATTATCATTTATAAACAAGAAATTTCAATGAAAAGAAACAACAAAACACTACAAGCAAAAGGATTTAAAGATATAAGATAGGATAGGAAATAACACAAGCCCTGGGCCTAACCACGAGATGGCGACTCTAACGAATTCTTCTTCTTGATATGCCTATCAGTTACTAATGTTGGCAATCATCATGGCAATCTTTATCTTAACTTCATCGGCGCGGAAAATCTGCACGTATGTATTGAACCAGATTCTAAGGTTCTTTAACCAAGATGTTCTTCTTCTTCCTGGACCTCGTTTTCCAAATATTTTTCCTTCCTAAGAATTGTAAGTCGTTTTCAAGTCGTGAAAACTTGAAAACTTGTACTGGCATCAAACGGCACAGTTAAAAATAGACAATTCTATATCCAAACCCATACATATAAGAAGAGGCGTTCGACAGGGATGTGTGCTTTCCCCTCTTTTATTTAACATTTATTCGGAAACCATATTTCAAGAGTCTTTGGAGGATGCAGAGATGGGAATCAAGGTGAATGGAATATCGAAAAACAACATACGATATGCTGATGATGGTGTCTTAATTTGTGACAACATAGTCGATCTTCAACAACTTGTCACTATAATAGGAGAATACAGTAAGCGAATGGGATTAGAGATTAATACCAAAAAAGACCAAATTTATGATCATCTCCAGAAACTTAGATGCACTTGAAAACTCCACCATAACACTGAAGTCCATTGAAAGAGTGAGTAAATTTAAATACCTGGGATCGTGGCTTTTTGAAGACTGGGCATCGGACAGGGAAAAAAATGTCGCAGTGAGCAAGCTCGACAAGCTTTCGTAAAATTCAAGAAAGTACTGACTTGTTCAGAGTTTGATCTTCAACTGAGACTAAGGTTTACTAAGTGCTACGTATGGTCAGTGCTGCTATATGGCGTAGAGGGCTGGACACTCAAAACGAGGGATATAAACAGATTAGAAGCTTTCGAAATGTGGCTTTATCGCCGTATCCAAAAAATACCATGGACAGCGAAAATCACAAATATAGATGTCCTTAAAAGAATAAATCAAGAACGCCAACTTTTCGAAACCATCAAGAAAAGGAAAACGGCGTATCTAGGTCACATCATGCGAAATGAAAAATACCAGTTCCTCCAACTTATAATCGAGGGTAAAATTGAAGGCAAGAGAGGAATGGGACGCAAGAAAATGTCCTGGCTCCGAAACATAAAGCAATGGACAGGGATTAACGACATACAATCTCTGATACATATTGCAAGAAATAGATAATTAATGGAAAATGTGATCGCTAACATTTGTTTGTGGATTTGCATCTGAAGAAGAAGAAGAAGAATTGTAACTTTCGAGATTTGATGGTGGTCTAACGAATTATCCACATGATATTTCGATAGTTTCATCCTTCAAAAGTATACTGTCAAAATTTCGTGTCATTCCGCTTTTTATTTATCGAGTTACGGTGCTCGAAGTGACTCTACTTTTGTGATTTTTATAAACAATATAACCAAAGCAATTTCGTGTGTTGATTTATAACTGTTATTTGATGGGAAAACATTTCGTCGAAACTAAGTAATGGCTCAAATAGTATTACGGGGACTCTGCTTCATAGTTTGCAACCATTAAACGATGGTTTGCTGAATTTAAACGCGGTCGTACTGACACCAATAATACTTAGCGCTTCAGAAAGCCAAATGATGCAGTTATTCCCGAAAACATTGCAAAAATGCTGAAAATTATTATGGTAAACCGCAAAGTGAAGTTGCAAGAGATAGTTAACACTCTACAGTTCTCAAAGTCAATCATTTTGACTATTATACACGAACATTTGGGTATGAGGAAGCTATTTTCCACTTCTTGTACCAGAGTAAAAACACCGAATTGATGAATCTTGTCGCTCTTTGGACATGTTTAACCAGAATAAGTCGGAGTTTCTGCGTCGGTATGTCACAATGAATGAAACATGGATCCATCATTTCACTCCGGAATCAAGTCGGCAGTCTGCACAGCACCCGCAGAAAGCGACCAAAGATACAACAAAACCCCTGAGATTATAGCCTCTGTATTTTGGGACCCGCAAGGACTATTTGAAACATGGAGAAACAATCAACAACGACTATTATATTAGCTTATTGAAGACCGAAATTGCAAAGAGAAGACGACCTGATTTGTTAAAAAAAAAATGTTGTTTTACCAAGACAATGCACCGTGTCACAAGTAGATAAAAACAATGGCAAAAATGCACGAATTCGGCTTTAAATTGCTTGCGCACCTACGGAGTAGTTCATATCTGGCTCCTAGCGATTACCACTTTTTTTCGAGCTAAAAAACTGTTCTGTGCAAGAGATATCGCTCCTATGAGAAAGTAATCTTCGAAACTAAAGCCTATTTTGAAGACAATGATAAATCATTTTATAAGGGCGGCATCGAAAAATTAGAAAAGCCGGTCATTAGGAATTATTGTATCGCCGCTGAAGGAGATTATTTTGATGAACAAAATTAGAAGATTATTTTTTTCAAAGAAAATGTTGTTTTACTAGCCCGGAACTTACTGACCGACGGGTTAAGTACAACATCACAATAACATTCAAAAAATCCAATACACTGAGATCTATTCTGTCCAAAACAAAATCAAACAGATATACAATGGAAAGATGCATCAATAGTCATGAAAGAAACATACATGAAAAGGAAAAAAATGAAAGAGGCAGCTCTCATCCTACCCAGCGAAGTAAAATGTGTAGTGAATTCATCAGCAGAATGTAGCAGGTCGGTTGCTTTGGTTGTCAATACTGAAAGAGTCAGCAAGAAGAAGATCCAACATTAGCAGATTAATAGGAAATCAGAGACACATTATCTACAATTATACATAATACATATACAACACAAAATACTTAAATGTATAATATATAAACACATAATACATAAACACATAAAATAAACAGAACTTGATATCATTCTGAGGGTAAAAACACCAACCTCAGAATTTTCATTTAAAAGCATGGCTATTTGCCTATAAGATCGAGGCCAAAGTAGGTCGCCCGTCAGTTTAGAAAATATATCCGCCTAACAAATTTTGATTATAATAACCCCAAAATTTTTATAAATTGTTTTTTTTTATATCACTTTAAAAACATTTAAATTAAACTAGTATAGGGGAAAAGAATCAGTACTCACAATCTTAAGTAATTTTTATTTTTTAATGATGGTAAATTTTGGGTTACAGGTTTCAAGGTATACAATATACGTCTTATCATCAAGCCCCAATACGTTAGTCTGGGAAGTACTGATAACATAACCTCCCAAAAAATGACAGGATAAAAAGATAACATCTAGGGCAAAATGCTGTTTAAATTTTAATAAATTGTGTTTGTGTTTTTATGTATGTGACGTACATAAATTTTAATTTTATAATTTTGACAAACACAGCAATAACAATTATTAATAAATATATTGAAGAAAAACATCTCGATATATATTAACATAATAATATACATGCAATAGAAAATTTATACATTTCTGGGTTTGATTGAATGGATTCCTTGAGGGGGATAGTGATTTGCAAGATTACCTTAGTTTATAGAGCTTTCCTGTATCTAATATTTCTGATATGTAAGTAATAATTCTGTTGAAAGTACAATTCAATTTAAACATAATACCCCTGTAATAATAGGCAGGGAGGCAGGACATATACTGTTGTTTTATTGACTTCTAAAAGGCATTTGATCGTGTTAAGCACTCTATATTGATCGAACCTCTAAAAGACATTGGCTTGCACGGCAGAGATGTTCGAATAATTGCAAATTTATATTGGAATCAAACAACATCAGTTTTAGTAGATGGCGTGATGCCTGTATTGGTGTGTATTGGTATTGAGAGCCTGTGATGGAATTACAGACTATCAATATTAAAAGAAGAGTACGGCAGGGATGCCTCTTGTCACCCCTGCTTTTTAACGTTTACTTCGAAAGAATTTTCAGAAAAGCACTCTCTGAAAAACAAGAAGGAATACTTCTATAGTACTCCTAGCTTCTAGTCAAGGATATCTGCAGACACTACTTGATAGTGTCGTAGAGAGTTGTAGGAAGGCAGATCTTAACATACGGAAAACCAAAATACTCGTAATAAGTAAACAACAGCATATAAAACCGTCTATATATGTAAATAATACCAAACTTGAGCAAATTGATAAAATCCTTTACCTTGGACAGCAATTAAATTATAACGCAGAAAGTCACGGCGAAATTAGATCTAGGATAGAGCAGGCTAGAACTGATGTAACAGAGACCTAAAGTTGGAATTGAGGATCCGCCTACTTGGCTGCTACGTGTTCTCGGTCTTACTTTATGGTGTCGAGTCATTTAAATTTTAAAAGTTTTCTGGGTGGAGAAGATTCGAAACTCCACAATACTTGAACGTCTCAGCAAGACTACTGAGATCATAAAAAGTATTAAGCAGAGAAAGCTGGAATATTTCGGACATGTAATGAGAGGTCCCAAATATAGGTTGCTACAAAATATCATGCAAGGAAAAATAGCAGGCAAATGCAGTTCAGGACGAAGAAGAACCTCATGGTTGAAGAACTTGCTAGATTGGTATGGTGTTAATACAAGCATGCTATTCAGGGTGACAGTGAATAAAATTAAGATAGCTATGATGGTAACCAACGTTCTGAAGGGACATGGTACATGAAGAAGAAGAGGCAGGAGTCCGAAAGGGTTGCAGTACAGCGGATCATCTTCTTGCAGTTAGAACGCTAATAGAGAAAGCCAATGAATATCACTTAAACTTATACATTGGCTTCGTTGATTATGAAAAGGCATTCGACTCCATAGAACTGTGGGCAATAGGGAGAGCTATGAACAAGTACAGGATAGACTCCCGATACAGAATGCTCATACATAATATTTACAAGAAAACTACAATGAAAATACAAATATATATATATATATATATATATATATATATATATATATATATATATATGCGAAAATCAAAGCTAAAGTTCATTCGTTTAGCAAATTCCCATCCGTAAACACACGCACGTGTTGATATTCGCCCTCTCATTCGTCAAGAGGCTATTAAATATAATTCATTGCCCTAAGCCAGACAGATTCTCATCTTAGAGATCCAAACTTGCCAGTCTGTTTAAATTCAAAGTGTATCGTGTTGGTTTTTAAGTTAATATATTGTGTGTTATATTAATGTTATAGTTATTGTTAAGTTATTTACTGGTCGTGTTATTTTTTAGAGTTTAGTTTAATTGTGATTTAATGATTAAATTTCAAGAAATTCTTACACTAATAGTTTCAAAAGTAACTATTTTTAAAAAGCATATGATACACATCAGTACGACCCTGTTTGGCTTTTACGTGCGTCTGTTGACAATTGGGAATATGTAAAATGAATGTAGTTAATACCAATCAACAGAAGAACTGGAACACCTGGACTGGAAGACGTATTCAAAGACATTAACTGGGTATATAAAGGAATAAATGTTAATGGAAGAAAACTGAGTCATTTGAGATTCGCTGATGACATTGTAATAATCGCTACAAGTTTCGAAGAACTACAGACCATGATGACGCAACTATTTCAAGCTTCGGAAAAAGTAGGTCTTGTAATGAACTTGTCACAAAAATAATACACCAAATATTAGAGAAATAACGTTAAACAACATAAATTTAGAAAGAGTAAGTGAATACATCTACCTGGGACAGATAATGAAAGTTAACAAAGAAAATCAAACTGCCGAAATTACCAGAAGAATAAGGTTAGCATGGGCAGGATTTGGAAAACTGAGTTGGATCTTGAAAAGCACTAAAATAGAACCATATTTGAAAACCAGAATTTACGATCAGTGTATCCTCCCTATACTCACGTATGGTTCACAGACGTGGACACTCACCAAGTTTAATATGGATAAAATAGCAAAAGCACAAAGAGCGATGGAAAGATCAATACTCGGGGTGAGACTTGCTTCCAAATTAAAGTGGAGCTTCGCAGGACACAATGCCAAAGCAAGTGGCGCAAAATAGAAAACACTGGATTGATTTGGGGGAAGCGTATGTCCAAAGTTGGATTACTTAAGGCCAAAGAAGAAGAAGAAAGACCCCTGTAATAAACCACATACTAATTACTGACTGACTACATGGTGCAGTTTCCATTAGTATGGGTACATCCAATGGCACTAATGTCCCAATATAATATTTACTGCGTCAATCTCACTCTTAATTAATGTTATAGTTGCTTGCTTGATTTTCTATTAGTTATGGAGCCCAATGATGGGGCATTATAAGCCTTGAAACCGGTAGCCCAAAATTTATAAAATTTAAAAAATAAAACTTAAGGTTGTGAGTATTGAATCATTTCCAATATATTAGTATTATAAACTCACATTGGCAATCTTTTCATCATTATTTAACTTATACTATTTTAGTTTCATTATAATAATATTTACTTTTCTTATTTTTTTAGCCTCTCAGATTGGGCAATGTAGACGAAAATATCGCACGCGAAATCGACGAAGTGCTTACGAGGGAATTCGACAAAGAAGAAATTCTTCGGAAAATCTTCTGGAAAGCACGATCTCGAGCCAAAGAGGAATTAACCAAACAATTAGCTGACTTTCAACAAAAAAGAACCGCAGGTTTAGGTACCATCTACGGTCCCACCGACCAAGCCCTCGCTGAAGTTTACTACGATAAAACGAAGGAAATTAAATTGTACGAAAATTTATTTTTGGAAAAGCTGGATCCCTATTTGGAAGAGATCGAGAAAGATTGTTATGATACCAGGAGGTATTATATGGCTGCTGCCCTAACGACTGTGCTTAGTAGAATATTTCAAATACGTCCACCGGCTGCCCATGCCTTAGATAGGTGCCCTACTTTTGTTAATAAAGAAAAGTCGTTTAGGACGAAGTTTATTGGAAAATATTCTAGAAAGGTAAGATTTTTCATATCGTTTAAAGATTTATACATAGATGGTGACTTTAACAGTAATTAATTCAATAAAAGTGTACCAACATTTTTTATACACGTTGATTTATATTTAAAGTTTGTCATAGATTAAGAGGTTTTGTATTTGTATTCCTAGAGATTTCTAGAGGATGTACAGCTGGTTCCTAAAAAAACTAATACGACTCTTAGTCAGATTTGATCATTTTGAGCGGTGTATTTAATTGGTCTAACATTATATTATATTTATTATGATAACAAATGACAAATAATTAAATAAACAAACAATTGATTACATATGTTAATTCATAAATTGTAATAATTATTCATATCTAAATTTTGATATTATTTTGAATTCCTACATTTTATAAAGAGTATATAAATGATAGTTTTTACATAAAATAGGGTTGTTGTCAAATTTAGCCATAACGCTCACACTCCCTTTAAGCGGAAAATTTACTCATCCCAGATACCTACGATATCAAAAAGATTGAGCTCTGGTGGGACTCTTTCCATGATATCGAGTCCTAGGTGACTTGGTACGTCGGTGTATCTCCCAAAAATTTTCGCACGCATCTGGACGTCGAAAGTAGCACAGCTTTATGCATGATCTCATATAGATGTTCATTTAGACCCAGCTTTTTTATGTTTTCTAGGAGGTTTTTCGAAATGACTCCAGTAGTAGAAAGAATAATAGGTATCGTCTGGGTACTTTTCATTCTCCATTGTCTCCTTATTTGTATTTCCAGATCTCTGTACTTGACGATCTCTCAGGAACGTATTGATAATATGGGAGATGGTTTGTTTGTAGAAGTCCCAGTTTAAAAGCTATCTCTTGATGGAGGATCTTCCCTAGTAAGTCATGCCGTTCCTTATATTCAGTTGCAGCAAATGCCTGGCAGCCTCTGGTAAGGTGTTGGATAGTTTCTTGGGCTTGACATCCATATTATCGGCATTTGTCGTTTTGGACCTGAGGGTCTTTGACGATATATTTCAGGTAATTTTTGGTTGGCATAACCTGATCCTGAATGGCGAGTAATGTTCCTTCTGTTTCAGGGAATATCTTTCCTGATGTCAGGCAATAGTTCGACGCTATATTGTCGACATAGTCTTGACTGACTTCATTCGGATGTCGTCTGTGCAGAGGTTTACATAGGGTTGTTGTTATTATTTTTATTATTATTAAGGAATAAAGCAAATGACTTTACTCGACAATATATTAAAGCAAGAATTGTAACCAAATTAAAAGATCAGAGGCACCATTATCAGAGGTAGCAAAACATTTTAACATAAACAGAACCACAGTTTTTCTATTAATGGAATTAAAATGGATGGAACAAGAACCAGGATGGAACAAGAACCAAGATGGATCAAAGATGGAAGAAGAACCAGGTTCGAACAACCTGGTGTAATTATATAAGTGAACTGTATCATGATGATAGACCCGAAGAACTGGAGACTTTAGTTGAAGGTGAAGGACCAGAAATACTAAAATCAGAAATACTGCATGCTATAAAGTTAGCAAAGAACAAGAAAGCCGTTGGCCCTGATAACATACCGACAGAGATGTTTAAGCTTATAAATGAGGAGAACATTGATATCCCTGAAGATTGGTTAAAGTCTGAATTCATAATACTACCAAAAAAAAACAACGTCCAAAAAACTGTAGCGATTATAGAATGATAAGCCTTATGAGCCACACTTTCTTCCTTTTTTCTTTCTTTCCACAGAAAATATTTCTACGCATCATCCACAGTAGAATCAGAGAGAAATGTGAAGAAGACCAGGATGAAACACAATTTTGCTTCAGAAATGTCCTGGGAACTCGGGACGCCCTCTTTGCACTAAATGTATTACTGCAGAAATGTCGAGATCAAAGTAAAGACGTCTTTGCTGTATTTATTGACTATGAAAATGCCTTTGATTGAGTACAGTATCACAAATTAATTACAATATTAAAAGATAAAGGAGTTGATAGTCAAGACATGCTATTCATAGAAAAGTTATACCGGCGTCAAACAGCGACAGCTTGCATAAACGGAAAATCACAGACATATGTAATATACAAAGAGGTGTCAGACAGGGTTGTATACTATCCCCACTGTTATTTAATTTATATTCAAATAGAATATTCAAAGAAGCGCTGCATAATTTGGAATGGGGCGTGAAAGTTAATGGAATTCTGATAAATACAATCAGATATGCAGACGACACAGTTATTTTAAGTGATGAAATGAATGGACTACAATGCCTTTTAAATGCCATTGATACAGTGGGAAGAGAGTTTGCCCTAATCATAAACTGTTCAAAAACAAAACACATGGTGTTTAGCCGTTTAACACATCAAGATGCACGATTATATGTTGATGGTCATATAATTCAAAGAGTGTCCAGTTTTAATTATCTTGGTTCCATTTTACTGAACAACTAGATCCAGATTAAGAGATAAAATGTAGAATCGAGATAGCCCGCACGACATTTTTAAAAATAAGATCATTCTTCTGTAATGATAACTTGCAACTTCAACTTCGAAAGCGCATGGTTAAATGCTACATTTGGTCAATCCTCTTATACGGTGTCGAAGCATGGACATTAAAAATATCCACTATTAATCGTTTTGATGCCTGTGAAATGTGGCTGCACAGACATATACTAAAAATTCTATGGACGGCTATGCTGACAAATGTGGCAGTCCTTGAGAGAGCAAATGCTGCTCGCGAGCTGCTTGATAACATCAAATGTAGAAAGATGGCCTATTTTGGACACGTAGTAAGGGGAGACCGATATAATATTCTTCAACTTATTATGATGGGTAAAATCGAAGGACGCAGAGGAATTGGTAGAAAGCAGGCCTCTTGGTTGAAGAATATCAGGGAGTGGACAGGAATAAGGAAAGCTGAGCAATTCTTTAGAATAGCTCGAGACAGATAGTTTCGCATTGTTAATCGCCAACGTCAAGGGGACTTGATAGGGCACGTTAAGAAGAAGGAACAAGAAACTCTCTAAAGAAAGAGAGGACCAAAACTATACTAAATTTATGTATGTAAAAATAAAATTAATATTTTGTAATATCTCCATGAGCATTAATAACAGTTTGTAGTCTTCGGTCCATCTGGGAAATCCCAAAACGAACTATGAAATTGTTTTCTTCAGAGAGCTCTTCCCAAACCTGCTGTATACCGTGCCACAGCTCTTCAGCATTTTGATGTATAAAATTACGCCGATACAACCGTTTTATAATAACCCCCACACATTCTCGATTGGGATTAAATCTGGACTGTAACTGTCCCAAAAATCTTGATTTTGTAGCTGATAGTTTAGAGCAAATGTAATTCTTGATTGCTTCTGTTGTGGTGTAAGAGCTTGTTTTTTTCCTGCAGTTCGGTATCTAAGACGCGATGATTTAATTCTGCGCCAATCTGCGGCAGATAGTGACCAACCATCTTCTAATTTCATTACAATTCTTGCTTTTAGTTATTTGCTAGCATGTGGGCCATTTTTAGGTTGAACAGAATAAGTTATCTGACAAATTGAATCCTTCAAAATATACTACTCAATTTTCTATAAAATACGCTTTAAGAGTCGTATCAGTTTTTTTAGGAACCACCTGTACCACCAACTCTTTTTTTTTTTCGAAATGAAATGCTACGTATCGTATCCGCTCGTTGAAAAGACAATTTTAATACTATTAGTGCGAATTACATTAACACACTAACTTATTTTATTAGGAAAAGGGAAAAAATTGGAAATAAACAAGAAATTTATAAAAATAAGTTTGAATGAAAAGGATACCATTAATGTACATCACTGGTATGTTGGCAAGTTGAAAATTTGTTTAATTTACAAACATTTGCAGAAATACTCACGAGTTACAACCTATTAATCACGGTACGATTAGCAATATAGACAAAAAACTACGAGAAGTGCGTATGCTAACAATATTCATAGAGAAAGGTCTGTTAAAATTGATGAAAATACTCAATTATTGTACTAAGAATTTTTAAATAAAATCTTGTTATTGCAGCCAAGGCCAGTTGCTCCTGAGAGTTATGTGGGTCACAAATATATGTTTAAATAATAAATTATGCAGACAAATAACTTTACACATTAACTTCAAATAATGTAGTCAATTCCAAACTGCTCAAAATATCATTTCCTGAAATTAACGAAGACAATACGAAAACCGATTCACCCATTTTTAATATCCCTAAACAACCCAAACAAAAAAAAACCAAAACTTCTTCCAAAACCTCCCGCGAAGATGTCATTCATTCTTTAGAAACACTTAAGACAAAACTGAAAAATAGATCCCCTACATTTGTACTAAATTTCAATGAAATAATGTGATTGTATGGAAAACATTTTACACTCGCATAACCCTGAATTAATTTCAAAAGATTACTTCAACGAACCAGATGAACTAATTGAGATATTAAGTTTTGTTAAAATTTAAAAAATAAAAAAACAACCCTTCTTCAGCTGATGAAATAGACGAATCATTATCACAAGTTAAAGGATATTCAAGGCATGACCCATTCCTTTATAATTCAGTGGAACATAAATGGGTTTTATGCCCATTATGAATAACCCACTTTAAACAAACCAACATAAATTTAAAAAATTTTCAATATTTAAAAAAAGATAGAATCACCCAGCAAGCTAGTGACGGAGTAGCTATCTTTACAAGAGCTGATTTGGAAGCTAAACCAATCGCACTGAGTACTAATCCTGAAGCTTAGCAATGTGTATTACTTATCATAAGAATATTAATATATGTAACATATACTTACCACTCCCTAGTAATCTAGATATACACGAATTAAATAATTAAATTTACCAAATTTCATATTCTAAATTAATTTTAGGGGATATGAACTGGCATCAACCTGCATGAGATAGTCACAAAACTAATAAGTACAGTAACTTATTAAAAAAACCAATTGATTGTTCTGATTTATTGTTACTTTATACATGGGATCCAACTAGATT